GGGGTTGCCCTGACTCAGGTGCAGGACCATTCACTTGGCCTTGCTGAAGCTCATAAGGTTCACACGGGCCCACTTCTTGAGCTTGTCCAGGTCCCTCTGGATGACCTCCCATCCCTCAGGTGTGTCAACCGCACCACTCAGGCTGGTGTTGCCCACAAATTTGCTGAGAGTGCACTGAATCCCACTGTCCATGTCACTGATGAAGATATTAAGCAGTACTGGTCCCAGTACAGACCTGAGGGACAACACTTGTCACCGATCTCCATCTGAACATTGAGCCATTGACCACTACCCTCTGGATGTCACCATCCAGCCAATTCCTCATCCACCAAACAGTCCACCCATCAAATCTGTATCTCTCCAATTTAGAGAGAAGGATGTTGTGGGGGACTGTGTCAAAGGCCTTACAGACGTCCAGACAGACGACATGCATAGCTTTTCCCTTGCCCACTGATGCAGTCACTCCATCATAGAAGGCCATGAGGTTGGTCAGGCAGGACTTGCCCTTGGTGAAGCCATGCTGGCTGTCTCAAATCACCTCCCTGTCCTCCATGTGCCTTAGCATGGCTTCTAGGAGGATCTGTTCCACGATCTTCCCCGGCACAGAGGTGAGGCTGACATGGTCGGTAGTTCCCAGGGTCCTCCTTTCTACCCTTTCAAAAATGGTTGCAATTTACATGGAAGATGTATCTTCAAGATGAAAACAATATTATTTTTCATCAAGCCCAAAATAATAGGGAAGATAAACAGCAATGTCCTCTCCCATTTCTCATTTTGCCACATATGCTTCAAATTCAACTGTGCTTCATAATACATGCATTAAAACTCCAAACATGACATACCTTCCTCCTGTTTCTTAATTTTTTCACTGATCTCTGAATTTTCCTTTGTTATTAAATCAACATCTTTGGTTAACGTGTTATTAGTTTCTTCCAGCTAAATGAAAAAACACATCACAATTTAAAACAAAGAAATTGCCATAAATTCTAAAAATATTTATACTACTATTATTTTAAATACCCTTACATGCTATAAAGTGTCTTGAAAAATTACAGTTCGGGGGTTGGTTTTTTTGTGTATGTGATTTTTTTTTTTTTTTAAAATAGTTTACCAGTGGGAAGAAACTCAAGACTTTGAAGTATTTTTTTAAAAAGACTAAGTTATTTTGCAATAAGAGTCTCTAATACACAGTTCCACGAATTTACAAGATTTAAATAATACATTGGGCAATGACAAGAAGTAATTACAGAAGGCTTAACTGAATTATAGACATTCACTTGATTTTCATTCTGGCTTCACAATTCACTCAGATTCATCAAGTCTACATTTCTTTAGGAGTTCACATGATGGGATTTAAATGTTAAAGGTCCCAACTGAGTCCAAAACTTAGATACTTAAACAGTTATCACATATGATCACAATAAGAGCATAAATTAAAATAAAACCACAAATTTCTGTTTCCAGCTGGAAGATACATAGGTATTAGTTACAGTGGAATAACTTACCCTTCTTATGATGCTGTCCTTATCAGTCATTTCTTGCCTGTGTCTTGATGCTGCTTTTTTGCTTTCCTGACTCAGTTCAAAATACTGTTCTTCAAGGAGTGCTCGTGCCAACCGTTCCGACTCAGCTTTGGTTTCAGCTAAATCCAATTGGGTAGTGAGCGTTTCTCTGTAAAAAGGACATTAAGATTTTGTTCTCCTGTGCAAAACATTCCAAATTTTCAGGAAGATTAACAAACCCAAATTACACCACCCAGCTAATTGTCAGTTTCTTATGAAAAACAGGATTTACAAAACCACACTCTGTACACTTGTATCTTTTGATGGCCCACACAAGCTACAGCAGCAAGCTTACTACAATTCAATTAAAATTTCAACCATCCATGAAACATCAACCCTTAGGAAACCAGGTGTCATATTCTCCTGCCTTTGAGGAATAAAAAATAAAATTAAATTGCATGTACAGTGTGGTCCATCAAAAGATAATTAACCCTATCAGTATTAGCTACCTCTTCACACAAGATTACTGCTCATGAAGATGTGTGCTCCAGACTGAATGATAATGAAAATTGCATACAGTTTCTGAAAACATACAGTGGTCCTGTGTCTATGCAACCTTTTGCAGAAAGGCCTGCAAATTCTATCTACAGCTTGAGAGGCAGGGGTCATTAACTTAGGTGCAGTACCTCATTAACGTATACACAACTTCCAATCAGTTCAACATACAAGCCAAACTTTCTTGCTCCTGCTTGGAGTATAATTGCCTGCAAAGAAACCCACATAATGCATGGTGGCCACTCTAGCACCCACTGGTCAGGTGTCCCCAGCAACATGGGACACAGCCCACAGCATGCTGAGATGGAGGTGGCAATACATTATTGCAGTACTCCCTTCCTGCACTGCAAAATCAAGAGATTGATGTAATGAAATGTGTACTGCTATGGAGTCCACCGATTTGATAATCTGTAGTAGACACGGGCCTCTACTGTAAAAAGGTAATTGCTGAAGTATACTCAGGGTTTGTCACAATTCCCACAGTTGTATCCAGGTGAAAAACATTTATGATGAATAGAAGATTGTGGACAACAGTGAGTGTATCCAGGTGAAAAACATTTATGATGAACAGAAGATTGTGGAGAACAGTGAAGGAACAGAATAAAAGGAATCTATAAAAACAAGTAAGAAAAAGAAAAAACCCACAAGAGGAATAAAGGAAGTCTCTCCTATACCCCCCACTCCCCCACTTTTTTTCTTTTTTAATTTGGGTACTACTCCTGAACAACTTTGCATAGACAGGTATTTTCCTCCTACATCGTATTTACTAGCACAATATCTTTTCTTTCTCCCTTTCTTAGCCCACCAAAATGTATCATGAACACTCTACATAACCCCCTCCCCTTAGATTGCTTTGCAATGCTGATGCTCAAGTAGAACAAGAGCCTCAGACTTCAGAAGAGAGAAACTGCTTCATGCATATGGCTACAGATTGTTTCTTCAGAATAAACGTATTAAATAAATTAATAAATTGGAAAAACAAGCTTAAAAAACTTCTTTCCTTATTTGCTAACTTAGAAAACAGTACATCACAATTAACGGTTGTTGGACTAACTGGTTTAGCTGTAATCAGAAGTACACTAAACTTAGTATTCAAAGTACTTTCATTATCTTTTTCTCAAGTTATTTCATTGACTATAGAAAGATACCAAGTAATTATCAGGATAATAAAATCAAATAAAAAAAATTGTTACACAAGCAAAATGATGACCACAAATTGGAGTGTTTTTTCAAAACTTTGCATCTTCCTAAATTCTCAGAAGTCATCATTCTTCTTCCAGACATTACCAACAGACTCCAAAGAAAATGTGAATGATCATATTTGGCTTTGCGAGTCTGCATAGGTAACATCCCATGCATTTGCCATCTTACAAGGTGTTACGGAATACTTTTGAGATCTGCCTTTTTCCGAAGGAATTAAACATTTTAAATCTGATTCAGAATCTTCATGAGTGAGACGATACTATATGGAAAAATTCGTATCTATTTGAGAAACACAATGGGCATACTTTTCATTTTGCAATTCCTGCATTTTTCTTTGAGTTTCTTTATTCTTTTCATCAATTTCCTCTTTCAGTTCCTTAACCTGAGTTTTGTAAAGTGTCTGTAAAAGAAAGCATAAAAAAAGAAAAGAATTATTATTCAAATTCCACAGTGAAATTCTTCATTGTTTTGGTACTGGTTGCTTTGAATCTGTCAAACCTCAACACATGCCAGTACTGTCTTTAATGGAATTTCCTCCTTCCTGCCTGTCCGAGATGCTCCTTTCCAGTTTCCTTTATGTAAGGAACTGATGTGACCAGGTTAGTTTCCAGTTTTCTAGTCTGATTTCCTACATAAGTTGTACAAACACACTTGCCGACAAAAGGGAAGGAAGGCACTAGGACTCAGCTGAGGAGGTCTCTTGGAGACAACAGGACAAAGCTGCATCCCCTTGTAGCATCACTGTCTCAAAATGTTAGTCAAACAAGCCTAATACTGTCTTATGCTTCCACCTGTGGTATTCTTTTGGTATCCATGTATCTTTTCTCTTAGACTGTACATTTTTTATGTACTGACTGACTTTGTCTTAATAACTGATTCAACAGAGGTCCGATTTATGTGAATGACTTCTGTTCTTAATTACTGTATTGTTATTAACACCACCAGCAATTCTGAAAGTTAAAGTTTGATCTTCTATAGTAAAGTACTTATGCGAAATATTCAGACTGAATTACAAATGTCTCATTTAAACTACAGCTACTGAAAAAAAAGAAAACTGAGAATGAAACACAATACTCCGGGTCTTCCTATCAGCAGTATGGAGAAATGCACAAAAATCTGTAACATATAATGAAATTACAATCCTATGCAGTTTAGTAAACATAAAATTTTTTGTCCCGCTAAGGAAGAACCAAATGTAAAAAGTACTTCCCAAAGTGAAATGAGACTGTTTGTATTCACAAATGTATCTCAAGTTCAGGTGTTACAGAGCATCTCATGCTATTGTTTCTTTTCACAGCAATGAAACAGATCAAAATAAATCTATGAAATACACATTTTGGCTACCTGGAGTACCGAATAAGGCTCTTCAGGCACTCAGGAGCAGAGAAGCTATCTTTTTAGAAGGATGAGAAATACGTGCAGAATGTTACTGGATCTATGGTTCTTAAATATACTTATGCTGGATCAATAGCATGGAATATATTCCAGTGAGCATGGAGATTCTGAACTCTCTACAATGTTTGCAATTATGTCAGAAAAATATCTCTTTTCCAACCTCAGGATAGGAACTATTCTGATGAATAATTCAGATAAGAGTTACTCAATATAATGTGTAAGATTCGATAAACAACTACAAAGCAACATATTAGACAGACTATCTAATGTTCTCTAATTTTTTGTTCCTTGTATTTCAAGCAGGATTTTGTGAACTGCTGATTTATGCCAGGTTGTTATTTACATTTAAAAAAATTTAATATGTCAAACTATTCATTGTTCAATGATTTCACGTCAAAATGTAGCACTCAATTCTTTGCAAATCTTACCGAAAAATACTGCTCAGCTTCAAGTTGATCCTGAAGCTCACGCATTTGACCTTCATTTCCTCTGTACTGTCTTTGAAGAAATAAAAAAGGAAAACACGTAAAAAGTCAGCTACTAACAAATGAAAAGACTGGCTATTTCTAACCAGAACAGCATCCTATGAAGATGTTACATTTGCACACATACTACTTCAAAGAGCAAAAGTTTCCTGTATCCTAAAACTCTGATTTAATTACGTTCTTTATTCTACCCTGATGATTGTTTCAGTACATAATTCTAGAAGACAAGAAGTACTCTAAATGGAGAAAAGTTATGTCAGCTGAAGGAAGGTATGATAGAAGCCTCATTAATGAAAAATATCTTCAGTCAGTTTAAGAAATGCTAAGAAAAATAATCAGGTAGTTAAAGGGGAAAAAAAAAGCTACTGACTCCCATGTTGTAAAACTAAAAGTCACATATGATTTAGTAAGTAGCATCACAGTCAATCCATAAAGAATTCGCTCAAATGAAAGTGGCATATGCCTTGACATAGAATGATGAGCCGAGAATTGTTCTGCATCATAGCTCATAACAAAAATATTCCAACACTGAAGGCTACACACAGAAATCATAACATGCAACTAAAAATACTCTTTTAGTTTAGGAAAAAAACGCCTATGCACCAAAGAACTTTTTTCACTAATAGGAAGAGGCAGAACAGTACATGTATAATTAAGCAACTTTTTCCATTTTACTTCAGATTTTTACTTACTTAGCAAGCTGAGCCAGCTCAAATTCCAGTAACCTCTTTGCTTCCAACAACGTATTGATTTCCTGTTTCAGCTGCTTCTCAGAACCCTTCAAGTTATCTGCTTCAAAAGCTTGCGCCTTTAATTCATTCTGTGCCATTATTCGCTTATTCGTCTCTTGTTCTAGTTGAAGTGTCAGATTCTTTACCTAAATGAGAAATATTTCAATTTAGGAGTGTTTGCTGAATAACCAATAGCATGTGGTTGCAAGTGTTTCATATATGGATTATTTTATGTCAAACACCATTGTGTAGATGCTACACATTGTACAATATGTAAAAATATTCCTAAATCTCCAAACATGTCAGTGCAATAATCTTACAGAAAGCTGTTTCCCTTCTAGAACATACCTATACGATGCTGCATGATGATAAAGCTTCCCCATACTTAGCTCTTATTTCAAAGTCCAAAATGTGTTTTATCTTCTCTTAAAGGCAGCAATGGAAGAAACTCAAATTGTCTGCTGAAAGGTCCTGCAAACCTCTCTGTGGATTTCGGATCTTAAAAACTTCTCACCCTAGAAAAGCTATACCACCAATCTAAAAACTAGTTTACACAAGGCGTGACACCTACAAAAGGCGTTATAACCTTAATTCCCAGTGTCCTGTAATGAAAATAAGGATGAAACTATTATCCTCAGTACCTAGTTTTCACCCTCAATAGTCTAATTGCATTTCCCTGAACAAATGCTTTTCTGGAGAATGCTAATTCAGAACTGCAAACCACCCAAACCAATCAGACTACACAGTCAAATTCACAAGCAAGTTTTTCCTTTAAAAAAGGAAAAGGAAACACAAAAAATTGCATTGTATGAAATTGAGGGCTCAAATATGTAAGGCATCCAAGAGCTAAGAAACAAGTGGAAATTACCTAATACTATTTAGGCCAACAACTGTCTTCAGTTCTACTGTGAGGATTTATTTACACGAGGAGCTCAGTGTAAGTGAATTTAATTTTCTATTTCTCAGTGCAACTATAAATTTTTATTTATAAAGAAAGTTGTTAGTGATGAACATTTTACTTACTTCATCTTCTAGTCTCTCCTTTTGCTCAAGAAGGTGTTCCAGTTTCTGCTGAGATTGCTTCAGGTCAAAGTCCAGCATGGAACACTGTTTTTCAGCTTGAACTATTCGATTTTCTGCCTTTTCTCTTGCTGCCCTTTCTTCCTTTACTTTTTTTTCCATTTCTAAACAAGATTAAGGAAAGAAAAACAACAAAAATGAATATGTAGCATCTGCAAGAATGCTTTTGTAAACACAGTCTTAAATATCCTAATATTTTTCAGATCCTTTTGTTCAGCTATTTAAGCTCTTCTGCTGTTAGATGGACTGATTACTGAGTAAAAACTTCTTGGCATTATTACAAGAAACACTAAAGAAAGAAATATAATTCCAATTTGCATTCAAAGCACTGGTATCTTATCATGACAACTGAAAGATAAATAAGTGAAAGAAATTTAAAAAAATGCAGAATCTTGAAGAAATCATTATGAAATAAAGGCAAAGTTTCATTTCCATGAATGCATAGTACAGTGAAAGAAAAGAAATGCTACCATTCATGTTTGCTTTCTGAAAAGTTACAAACTGCACATTTACGTATCGATGACCTTCACAAAGCAAACCTGACGTATTCAATTAAGATACCAAGACACATCTTTGATTCACGGATATGTATCTACAAAAGAAACTTCACCACTTCAGACAACACCAATATTTTTAATGCAGTTACACAGGAATGAATGCTCCAAGAAATCTATCTTGATAATGCATTCTTTCAATTCCATTTAGCATTAGCCAGAATTTTAAGATTCAATAGCATTTTAGAAGCCAAGGAAGACTTTGAATTGCAAACACAGCAAGATATTCAAAACATTAAGAAACTATTCCATTTTTATGGACCAAGTACCACATTAGAGGAAATAATTTAAAATGCATAGTTTTCCTGTTTTAAGATTTGATATACATTTTCTTTATACAAGGGATTAAACTTCTATAAGACTACTACATTATGAGACAATGTGTTTTAAGATATCATAATCAAAATACCTTTTATTATGTATTTACCTGAAACTTGCCAGAAACACTTACCACACATTGCAACGGATCTTGCCTCCTCTATTGACTGATGTTTGTCAGTTAACCGAGCTTTAGTCACTTTGTGTTCATTTACTTCCTGTTCTAACCGGTCTTGTAATGATTTGAGTTTGTAGTTCAAATCTATCTCTAAATTATTCTTTTCCTAAAGATAAGAAAAAAAGTTACCGGATTTTTATAATATTTCTATAATATCTGAGGGAATCACATTTCATTTCTTCCCTTTTTTAGTGTTAACTTTCTGTTATGAAGAAATTATCAATGTTATTTTCCATGCTTAATAAAGAATGGTAGCAGACAAAAACTGTACTCGATGCTCTAGAGAAAATTTCATTAATTTCTTCCAGTAGTCTATAAATTCATAATATAATGGAAACTTCTCAGTTTTAATCATTAGTAGTCACCTAAATTGGAAACACACAAATTCAATTCTGTTATTTCATTGTTGGGATTGCCAGCCATTAACAGTAACTCATGAAACAAGCACTGGAGATGCGCTTTGAGAGAGAGGTACTTGCCTTTGGATTGCTGCTTCACATAACACCAAATGAGAACAGTAACTGCTTCCACCTTCCCTCATAGGTACTGATACATCTTTGGTTTATTTGGATAGACCACACAGCACAGCAAGGCTTCACCTGACCTCAAAAGATAAAGGTAACTATGTGGCCTATCTGGAAAAGGGTGCAGGATTTCCTTTTACTCTTCTTTACTTGTTTCTCCATCTTGGGGCACGGATCAGAGATATTGGGGGAACACGCTGCTACCATTCTTTAGGAAGGAAGGAAAACAAATTCAAACAGTTCATCTCCAAAGTTGATCAAAAGGTCTGGCACTGATCCAGTCAGATTAAAATCCAGTAAAAGCAGAAATTTAAATTTCAGACTTCTAAAAAGTTCGATTCAGAGATTTTTAGGAGGCAAGCCTCTGCAGCAATGGGCAGGCAGAACAAAAATTACTTGCTACTAGCAGAAGGGTTGGATCCTTGAATCGGTTAGTGAATGACAAACATGAATTTTACACCCAAAGCTACAAGTAAGAACTACCCGAAGACTTGTGAGACTTACCATCCTCATGAGACTGTAAATTAGCACTATTTAGTTAATCACTTTAACACAAGACTGATTTAGAGCAAGAACACAGGACTTAGTAACATCAATAAATACTATTCGAAAATACAGTCAGAAGCTGACAAAGAACATTAGCCTAAACATCATTTTACCATACCTTTTCTGAATGATTAAGCATATCCTGTGCTTGTTTTCTTTCCGCTTCCACTCTTTCGAGATTGTTTTTAACATTTTTTACTTCTTCTTGTAAAGTTGTAATCCGAACTGTCATAAGAAATTATATTTAATTCAATATTAGTTACCCAACTTAGATCAATAGGTTTTTCAACCTTTATTGATTTCTGGGTCCCTAAAATATTTACACCTTCAAATTTTTCAGACATGCAAAGGCTGTACTTTGCAAAGGAAACTGATCTTTTTAGCCACTCTTGATGCATGTCATTAGTGATAATTCACAAAAAACAATCACATACAAAACTTGGTACCTGCCTTCCATCACTTCCAGTATCTAATATGCAATATTTCTTCCATTAATCCAAGTTCTCCTGTGCTATGCCACAAGCACCTTTTCTGATGCTAACTCCACTAACATGTAGGTAAGGCACATTACACACAAAGTCAGTCTCAGATGCATCTACAGGTACTAACACAATACATACTCACCTAACTGTGACTCAAGTCCTCTGCCACGGACAGAACTATTCCCTGCCCCCACAGCATCTACCACAAGACCCTGTGTGGCATCAGAAGTTCATAGTAAATACTAAGTAGAATCACAGAATGATTTGGGTTGGAAGGGACCTTTAAAGACCATCTCGTTCCAAACCCCCTGCCACGGGGGTACAGTCATGAACTAATGTAATGGAATAGTTTCTAGTATGAAGAATCAGAAGTACAAATGGTAAAAAGTTCCATGCATCCTGAATAAAGGGATTCCACACCTGCATGCCTTACTACGCGCTTGCTTATAAAGTAATGTAGAAGCATCATAAAAGCAGCAAGATCCAGTCTTCAGAAATTGTTCTATTAAGTCACACTCAGTTTGCAGGTTGGTTTTCCTCCCTTTATGTAACTGTACTTTATTAAATACGTAGGGTTATCACAACTTTTTTGGTAAAGTATAAATACAGAACAATTACCCTGTAGTTCTCCAATCATTTCAGATCCATGACTTCTGTCCCTTCGTTCCGACTCCAAAGCTGCTTGCAGTTGGTAATAATCTTTCTCCACCTGCAGTTTTGTGCTTTCTAGAACTCTGCACCTTTCCTGCAGTTCTCTGTTCAGTGATTCTACCTGACTTAATGACTTGCTCATTTCTGTGTTACCCTTTCTCAGTCTTGCTGCCGTATCCGATTCTGTCCTCAGCAAATCATTTGCTTCTTCTAGCTGTTAAAACCAAACAGACAAGATCCTCAAATATAAGAATTATTGGAATGAGTTTTGTTATATCTGAATGCTCAATACTGCTTCTCAAATCTAAGAAATAATCAAGACAGTGAACAGAAGCAACTTACTTGTTTTTGTAATTGTGTTATCTTCTCGTTTGTAATTTGTGAATGCTGGTTGATTTTTTTCAAGTCTTCCATCTGATCTTTTAGCGTGGACACTAAAGAGAAATTACACTGTTAATAAATCACATTAAAAAATTCTTCAAGTTTTCTTCTTTTACTTTTTTTTTTTAAACACTAAGACGCTCAAATTCTTGGCATATAATAGGTCTTTTGTTGACTTTTTGCTTCTTATATATATTTTTAGGTCACATTCTGTGCTTGCAGAACAACAACGCACATTGTAGAGAATAGAATTTGAAAATAAGACAAAAAATTGTGTTCAAATAAGAATAAACTCAAAATTCGTGTCCATTATTTGAAAAGATCCCTTTAAAGTTGAATAGCACTTAAAATGCTAAGCTAGTAAACTATTCCCCAAAACACATCATATACCTCACCAGTGTCAGTGTTTGGACAACATGGCATACCTTCATTTTCCACATTCCGTCTTTTTTCATTTTCTTGCTCAATTTTTCTTTGGTAGTCATTTATCTTATGTTGCAATACCATTTTTTCCTTCTCAATCTGAGACACTGTTGATTCCAAGTTCTTTCTTTGATTTCCCTAAAATTGAAAGCATTGGTGTTTTCTATTTATATTTTAAGGAATGATCCCTAAACCACTATCTCTGCAAATAATTAATCAAGGAAACAGATGCATCATTTTCAGTGAATGAGTTTGTTTTCCTTGAAAAAGTTTTCAGAACAGATGGCTTTTTTAACTTCTACATGACAAATTTATGAAATTACTAGAAATGCTATCATTAACATGATTATATGTAAGTAACTATTAAAATTATTAGTGACAACATAAGAACTCAATAGCAAATCATCTATACATTAATTTTTAGAGTAACTGATTTTGATAAACTCCAGAGAAATTGCGATGAATAAGACTAAGCAAAACATTTAGCAGAGAAAATAGAATTCAGCGTGACTTGCAGAAAGAAAATGTTTTGGAAAATTTGTACAAATAAAAATGTATCTCCCAGTGCTGCATAGTGAAATGTGACCGTTTGGTCTCAAATTTAAACTCAGAACAATTTTTTTAGTCATAGAAGAAATATCTTAAATCATGACAGTACTGTCCACATTCTTTACCCTACTAAGGCGGCTTCAGGGAGGAAAAAAATTACCTCTTCATCCAGCTCTTTCATTATCTTGTCTAGCTTTATGTTTGAAGATCTAAAAATAAAATAATTTAAATATTATTTGAGAAGAATACATTATACATAGTGTTTTTCTAGTGAAATAATTTGGGACCATTATTAAAGTGAAGATGTGTATTTTGGCTAATGCTATTTTGGAATAAACATTTGAAACTGAAGGAAACAACCAATCTTTGGAAATAATTTGCAAAATATATTATTAAGTATTTATCAACTTTGCTGCAGATTATATATGCAAAACTTTAGCTGTCACCTTTTCTCCCTTAATCTGCAAATGTAAAAACAGTGTATGTACACAACAGGTTATCCTTAAAATTAGAATACCCTGGTGAACCGCTAAAACTTCCTCTAGTTGTAAATTTTTCAAATATCTAAAATGGTTCATTAATTCAACAGCAGACAGCTCCCTACTATGGATAAAGAGATTTGAATAATATTATTTGAAAATCTCTCTGTTGAAGCAGTGTATTAGAACATAGTACTATAGAGAGAGTGAGGTTAAGTGCATAGTAAAACCTCAGTTAACTGGCAGTAACACTGACACATCCATCGCATTTTTGTAGCTAGCTATCCCTCTTCAGAGATAACACAAAGGATCCAGACAATGTTACCTGGCAGATACAATAAGGAGCAGTTACAGCAATATATCCTATCTACTAACTGGAGTAAATGGTATAACATATCAGAAGACACACTGCTGTACTCTAACTTCAGTAGTAGTGCAGGAAGACAGTTACTGAATATGGTTGGAGCAACGTACATCCTGCTTGTGGAAAGCAACCAGAACGTGTGAACAGTGAAGTTGTGTTTAGGTAAGCGACAGCGTCACACAGTCTAAATTCCCACCAGACCATTCTGGCTACCAATTCCCACGTAAGTAGCTTGTACAGCTACACACTATGGTCCTAATTCACAAGCCTAAATTCTTCCTGTATCCTATACCCAGTGTTGCCTCCTGGCTTTATTTAGGCCTTCAGGAAAAGACTTCAAAAGAAGAAGTTAACTGAAGGGGAATTTAGCTTGCATGAATCTGCATAAAAATTTCTGACTATCAGAAAAGAAGAATCCCAACTGTTTGTTCGTAAGTGTAGCTGCAAGAAATAGGCAAATTCTCACGTAGCTACTTCTTCAACAGGGTAGAAACAAGACTTTAGAAAGCTAATAGTTGTTCTTATCTATCAGTCACAGAAAAAAAAAAAAAAAAAAAGTGGTTTTCCAAAAAGTACCATGTATTTAGAAGTCAGATAGTTAATTTTAATAATCCAAAACATGCTGTATATACAGTATCTTACATAAAAAAAATCAGCACAACCATTGTGTATCTCAGTCCAATAAAACATCTGAATTCAGAGATATTGGGTAAACTCAAACATTCAAATGTTCAGAAAGAGTATGTGTTACATGGGTGCCAATGAAAACCAAAACATTTTCATCACACTATATTCAAGAAAATCATTTAAATATTGGTTTAGAATGACTTAAACCTGTGCCTGGAACTCTCTTGGAGAACTACAGTACCATTCTTAGTGTTATTCTGGTAATCCCTAAAGCAGTAATACAGAAGTGAAGTGTTAGATGTATTTAAATTATGTAAACAATTAAGGTTCAAAGTCTCACCTGCACTTCTGCTCCATTTCGTCTTTCAACTGCATTTCATTATGTAGTTGTTCTTCCAACTCATAGATCATCTTCTGCATATTTTCCAGCTTTAAATATAGTTATACATGAAAGAACATGCATTAAATTTAAAAACTTCAAAAAAATATTTCAGAATATTCAGTGCTGCTTACTCACTTCTATGTAAACACTAGATTTTTACCTTATTAACATGTGACACCTCTTCCCCCCCAAAAAATTCTAAAAAAGTTAATTACAAGAAACAACTTCAATATTACCCAGTTTTGTCATTTGCACGCATATAAAACTTTAGGGTTCAGAATAGTTCCATCAAAATTCGTGGGGCTAAGCTAAGTCAAATCCTCCTTGTTTTAAGTATCTTCCAAATCAGACTAAAGATAGAAGAATGCATTTTAATTAGTCTCAAAATTTCTTTTGCTAGCATGAACGACCACATGTATTTTGCAACGCATCTTCAAGCTCTCAACAAGTTCAGGAAGCAGAACCGGGCCTGTCAGTTATTAGCAATGAGGAGAAAATACTCTTAATGTCTATTTAGTCAGAGATCATTTTTACAGCTAGCACTGTACTAAGGTTTGAAAATAGTAACAAACTTCAGATGTTAATACAGAATATTACTGTATAGCATGTACTGTATGCCAGCAAGATAAACTCAGAAATTCATTCTTTTCATGTAGTCTGAAAAGATCTACCTTTTACTGGACCTCTAGGCACAATAATCCCACTCCAACATCAGCAAAATCCTCAGTTAACAAGAAGATGGTGTCAACTTTGAGGAAGTTCATTAAGTTAAGCCCATGCTGATTCACTCTTTTAAACCTTTTTGCTGATCTTGTCAGTATTTCAGCCTTATTTAGCTTTCCCACATTTTCCTCAACACTCTTGGAACTGCAGAGAGAATTACAGTCCTAATCTAGACTCTCTTCAAAGCAACATATTCAAGTGGTTCGACCTTTTGCTTTCTTGTTCCTTGTTTTAACTTCGAAAACTCTGCCAATTGCCTGACTCCTCCTGCACCATCATCCCAGAAAGAAGAGCAACAGAACAGTTCCTCCTATGTGTCTCTTCCTTCCCCCCCGCCCCAAATATGCTTAGAGAAACTAGAACTGCTCACTAAGATCATGAAGAGGAGACAAATTACTCTTGTCTCCATCCTTTCTTGATAGCAACAGTAACTGTCCTCAACAAGGACTGCCCTCTGTACAGCCCTAAACTAAGACTTCAGTTTGCAGACATATTATAGCATGTTTTATCCACTTTAAATGAGAAAGTTATACGTGAGGTTATTTTTGCCTGCTTAAGGCAGGTGTTTTTCTTACTTTCAATCTATTCTCCCTCCCAGTGTAGTATGAAATAAAGTATGGAGCACTCAGTTGCTCTCAAGAACTGAGGATCCTTTCTCATTTCCTCCTTTTTCTTTCTTCCATGTTCTTAAGCTACTCAAGTTTTCAGAGGAAGACATGGCAACCAGAAACGACATATTTTATATATTCACCACTCCATTCTATACATTTACCACTACCTATCACAAAGCCTTGAGAGAGCAAGGAAATACTGGAAGAAATAGACTACTTAGCACCTACAAAACAGCTCTGGAAAACCAATTACTGCTGTGACATACAACGTAACACCAGGTGGATGAGACAATGATTGTAATCAAAAACCACAGAGATGGCCTCCAAATCTAAACTTTGAGGAAAACGGAAGGAGGACCACTACACAACAATTTATCTCCTTGGTATGAGCCACTGAGAACTAAAGCAAGAAGCAAGACCACTTAAAGGCTAGCTCTCAAAGAAATTTCAACATAATTGCTCTTCCATTCCTTGGTTACTCAGTTTATAATCCTTCCAGACAGGCTGCATAGACGAACTAAATGGGATAGATGAGGAACAGGTCCAAAAAGACATCTGGCAACTGAGGCACTTCTGTACGGACTCCTACAAGTTTGGGTCTCTATTGCCTCCCCTTGCTTCTGTCTGTCTCTGGATGCTTTTACAGTGCTATACCCCAAGGGGCCTATCTAAGCTTGCTGAGCAGTCTAATTATATTAGTATGAGACAACAGCCTTCCAGAGCTTTGCACAATCTGATATCAACAGACTAAATACCTTAAGAAAATCCTGAGTTACAAGTAACTCAATATAAAAGCATTCCTTTATGTTCTAGTTTGTTCTCAGTTTCCATTTTGAGGTGGGGGAGAAAAGGACTACGGAAAAGCCTGCCTACAGCAGAGAAGCAAAAAAAAAATATCCCTCTGGAACTGCCATACTTTTTTAATTATTTTTTTTTTTTTTAAATCACCATGGCATAACGCATCTGGTTCTGCACCCTGAACAATGAAGAAAACCAAAGCCCCAGTGCAAAAGAATCTGTTAATCTCCTTTTTCGTAATATCTGAACTGTTTACAGGTGGTGATGGTAACACTAAACTAAAGCAAATAATCAGATTTTCAAAGAGGTTTGAAATTCAGTTAAAGGACATTGAATTCCATTTTTGTCCAACTTCATGGCCCAATTCTCTTAAATTTTACACACTTGCAAAACACCACGAACTACTTGGAAATTTCTGGCACTCAGCCCCTCCCAGAAGACACTCAGTACCATGCCAAAATGCAGACAGACCAGGTAACATCTTGTGTTATATTTCCAGAACTAATTAATTTGCTAACCATGTGTCAAACATTACCGTTTTCATTGCAGCATGTAATGAAAGAAAAACAGCTGAGAAAGAACTGTGGGGTTAAAAATACCTTGTAGTAAAGACTTAACATTTCTTTAAACCTCTCTATATCACTCATATCCTTCCAGAGCTTCACCTCCCAAAACTGTTAAAATCACAAGACATTCAAATACGCCTGACAATACGGACAGGAGTCTGGAGGGTTCTTTAACTACATGCAGGTGAAGTTATGCCAAGTCCATTCAATGACTCTCTTCAAAGTCAACCAAAGGATAGCACACAGCTTTGAGTATCTGCAAATATTTGGTTCTGTTTTTAATTTTACCATATCAACAGCCAAACGCTTACAAGGTAAACAAAATTTATGGAACACATCAACCTATATAAAGAAATCAAGACACTTCAATGCTTAATAAATTCAGTTAGCCTAATAAAGTACATAATCAGTTCCCCTGCCCCTTGTAAAAATTTGTAATTTTCTCTGGGTAATACCATTATCATTAAAACTTTTATATTGCAAGTTTAAGAGAAAATGAAAAATACATTGGTATCTGCTTCTCTTCTACTCTAAATGGAAAACATAATGGAACAAAATACTAACAAAGCAGACCACAGTCAAACCCAAGCAGGTTTCTTTTAGAGTTAATTATGAATTTTTTGACAGTGTTTTCTTCTGGAAAGAATGTAATTTGTAAAATATCAAGCCATTCTAAGGGAATAGCTTGATTTATACTAGAACCTACACAGAATGCAAGTAGGCCTTGTTTCCAACCCCTCAGCGTACCTTCCTGGAAACCTAACTGCCAAGAAGCTTGGGAAAGAGTAACTGAAAGAATTCCTGAATGCCGCTTGCTAGGCAAACTGCTCTATAAATGCAGATCCTCAGTGCCCCAATTCCCAATAGCTTGTGGGGCACCCTTGGGAAGGAGCAAAATACCCAAGCTTCGAACATTATCTGCCACCTCCCACTTAGCTCAGAGGGAGTCCAGCTCCAGAGATAAACTGGTGGGTTGCTGGAAAAAGGCCAAGCTTCTCATCACACTCACATCCAGACTCCATGGTTGCCAAAAAGCCAGTGTACACCTGGGATCGATAATGAACTCTAAAAATACTGCACAAACACTTTGATATTTCTAAAGTTAAAAACTGTGAATCCAGTTCCACAAAAAGACTACGCAGTTTCAGCTTTTTTTATCTGAATTCAGGAAAATCAATGTTATATGAAGAACTGAAATTCTGTTTTTCCAATAGCTTTAACAGGCAGGCCATACTAAACAGTTAAAATTCATGCATTGATTTCCTATATTCCAAGCACTAAAATAATTTCAGACATTTAGAACTCAAACAGTTTATTCCCATATATGCAATAGATTCTTTATTAGGATTCAACAAGGCTGAAAATCAGTGAGACATACCACACTTTTGTCCACAGTGGAGCCTGTTCTGTTATCATTGGAATTTTCTGCAGACACAGCCAAATACCTGTAACAAAATTTAAAAAGTTTCATTTAAAGAGCTGCTTAAAAGCAAGGTTATAAAAAAACAACAGAATACAATCATCCTAAAACATAGTCCCCAGATTTTTTTGCTCCAAAATGTGGATAACCAAACAGTAACATAATCAGATTTTTTAATTTCTCTATTTGTTATAAGATTTAGCATATTTAATTGAAAAACTCACATAATTTACTGTAAAGGATAAATTAGAAAGCTGCAATAGAAGACCTCCAGAAAAAAGAACTTCTGCCAAATCCTAATACAACCACTTTTTTTTAATAACCAATAAAAAAAAATATCTTTGCTTTCCATGGTTACAACACTCTTATTGGCTTCCATCCCATAAATATTTACTCAGGCACTTATGCAGCAAGTAGCAGCAATGAAGTGAACTCTGCAGAGATTGTGTAACTTCCAACAAAGTTACTAAGAGTTCCACACACAAAAAGTTTGCCCTGAAGCCAATGTTCTTATTTTACATAAGTCTTTCATAAAACCATCACAAATTTCTATTTGTCATGATTCTGAAAAATCAGGTAAATAAATACAAATTACTATCTTCAAATTCCTTTGGTATTTGATCTGATATTCTTGGCCTGATAACTGACCTAGAGAGACATAAAGTATCCCTAACTGTATCCGATTATGTGAGGAAAAACTCTCCAACTTGTGAACTGAGGAAGATGGACACATCCTTTTTTTGTTGTTTCACATGCGTATTTTCATATATATAAAAACCTCTCCAGAAGATCAAGGAGGGTAAAATCAAAGACATCTCCAAATCATGGTCAATTTAAACATCAAGACTGCTTTCAGACAATCAAATGACAAAGAGGAAATGGAAGAGTTTCCTACAGAAAGAGGCTTGCTGTCTCGAGTACAAGCAGCCACCTGTGTTGCACACCAGGGCTGTTGAGCAGTGAGAATGGGATATTTTAACAAGCACAGACAACACCAGCTCCATCAGAATCCAGAAGAGAACACACAAGCTAGATAGGGCTGCCAAGTGTTCTCATGTAGTATTCCAAAATCCATGTTATTGGTGAAGTTCAATAATAAACAATCTTATTTCCTAGTTTACAGTCAACAAGATTGCAGCCGTAGAAAGTATTCTACACTAAACGACTGTAGTACTTTCCTTCAAAGACAGAAGTAACATCATTTTCCTAGATTTCTGTTTCTTTAGGCTCTCCATCATACATAAGAGTAAGATGAAACTATGGGGGGGTTTTTTTGCGGGGAGACAAATTTGCAACTTCTGTCTAAATATGCAAATTTTTTTAATGTTTGAACTACTTTCAATACAAAAAGGGAATAAAAATTAGTATTACAGGTTTAGCAAGTATGAATGGTCACTTCAGACTTTTCAAGACTATCACACCAGCAGAGTATTATGGGACAAAATTCAATTATAGGACAGCATTTTAGTTCTAGTAAGCCTACAAAATTCTGATAGTATTTAGTAGCAGAGTTCTTCAATGACAGCAAGACACAGACACTTAGTTCTCTAAATTCCTGATACTGTCCCCCAAGAAGGAAGAGGAGAGAGAAGAAATTCTGTTATTAACAAGCTTCTTTCTGTATGCTACTTCACCTTCTTGATAATATATTCCAAAATCTTCCTGCAAGGCAAAAATTAAGACTTTTTAAAGTTACAGACTAAAATCAGAACAGTAGGTGAACTTCCTGAACTGCTGAACTCACACAAACTGTATGCAAACTTGCAAGTCCTTCTACACTTTACTATGCAGAAAGCAACAACAAATCCAACTCTTTGCAGAGATTGAAAGAATTTCACCACAGGCTTGGAAAAGTGGTTCCTCTTCTATGCACAGAAGAAAACCAGATTTATTTCCTTTAAGGTTTTCCGATCCAGAAACGCTATTAAAACTAATAGTCTCTATCTGATACGGTCTATTAGAAGTTTTAGCCCATTTTAAGCTGACTGACACCACAATTAAAAGTAGCTTTCAAAGAAAGAAAAAGTTAGAGATGTTCGAATGTAGATATAGCTATCCATACTGCCTACACGAATAACAACTGTTGAAAGTATGAATTCATATAATTTTAGCTGATGTAATTTCAAGTCTTCTAAGCAACACTGAAAACCATAAAGCATCAATCTCACTCTGCAATGGATAAGTACTTTGGAAAGAAATTATCAAGCAGATAACAGGCAAGTACAAAATATTTTATTTCTAGTAAGCTAAGGTTGAATTTATCCCATGCTAAAACACTGATGTAAAATATGTAATCTTCATATACAGCTCAGGAACAGTAATTTGCAGTAAAACAAAGTGACATTCACATCCCTGATTCATGACTCTAGAGATATAATTCAGTGCTCTGCAGGCAGCTCTGCCTAGTAGTGGCAACAGTGGATTTTTCTTGCTTAGCTTCTCCAGCACCCCTATATAATATTCTTAATGCAGAATAAGACATTCACAAATTCAGTGTGATATTTTGAGGTACTGATGAGTAGCAGTACTGGTTATCATTATCAAAGTGTCAAAAGAGTATAATTTATTAGGATCCTGAATCATTAATAAGAATCTGAATAGGCTTGTATCTCAATACGGGTTGGTAAGAGTCAGAAACAGTGTCGACAAAAGAATATACCATCAGCTTGCTTTTGGCATACATACCGACGGTTGCTGTAGTACGTAAATCCAACAAAAGGAAGCTGGTTGCCCACAAATGCTTTTGGTATGGGAAATGTTTCTTCCTCTCCTTTGTCTTCTTCCAGATCATCAAAATTACTAGTGTCAATGTCACTACTTAAGTCAGGCACAACTGGTGCTACAGCTAGGAAAAAAAGCAGAATTGTATGAAAATAACAACTGTATTACTCAAGTGACTAAGAAATCTCTTTCAATGGTACAGAGTAAATAAAACTTTAAATTCCATTAAAAGAAATATGGCAGTCCTTTTGCTAACACAAATAAGTCACATCACTGTCTCTGTGAAAAGCATTATACTTACTGTCTCTGAGAGTTTCCCAAGCCCATTGGTCATTTTTGAAGAAAAGGTGCCGTTTAATTTCTTCTACACCATTTCGTCCTAGCCTCACTTCCCTGTTAAAGAATGTTTCGGTTAAATACGGGAGATTACACAAATTACTCTGAAGAAAAGACTAATTTGAAGGCATAATCTGACAACAAAGACAAAAAACGACCTCTCAAACTAAGGTAAAAAGTGGACATATCTCAAAGTTTTCATATCTATAGGAGCACCGCAGCTACATTTCAGAACATAGTCCGGTTTTAAGTCTTGTCCATAAGAAGCTTTGCTGCCACTATTTCCACCATCACGGATGGGCTAGGCAGTGGCCAAGCAGCAGCTAGGTTCCACTTTTTCCAGGAGTTCATGTTGTTCTTTGAATCACATGCAGCCCAGCAAATGCAACAGCCCCCCTTCTTCATAGCACCAGTTCTTAAGCAAGGGTTATGCTTATATTAATAAGTAGCATGGGTACAACAGGAGTGTACTCACAAAGTGAAACAGACCCAACACCCACATTTCAGACTGGTTTCCTGTGGGTTGTCTACCCTGATCCTGAATGCCCACTAAGAGCTGGGAGTGTATGAGGAGCACTCCTGAAATCTATCTTTTGCTTTAGCTTCATCCAAAAGGAATCCGTTTTGCATGCCCCTCACCACTGTGCCATACAGACCAGTGTAACAGCAGCTGTTACTAAGGAGTAACGCTTCATATTCAAACTAAATTTATAACGTAGACGTATCCCTAGTAGCAGCACTGCCCTGTCCCCAGTACACATGCTACTACCACAAAGAGCAGCAGCAACCATTGGTGATTCCTCTCCCAAATACTGGGACTGGAAAAGATGAAACCGATCCTACTGACTGCCTAGCTTGCAGTAACATCAGTAACCACTGCTTCAGGTTAGACAAAATGCTACTTCAGAGTAGACAAAGTAACTTAAAGACTTAGACTGAGGTTCTAAAATTCCTTGACTAACAAGTTAAACCAGCCTTTCTGTACTTTAAGCAAGAGGCTAACAGTTTCTTACATTGCTGTAGTTCAGAGAAGAACAAAGCCCAGTTCCTATGAAGGAGAACAACCAACTAGTGGAAATGCATTCAGAGCTCAGAAAAACACCTAACTACAGCAGTATCTAAACAGGAACAGAGTTACATTGCATTCATGCCAAGACAGTTTCACTTATCTTGAGCAGTTTAGAAACCCACAAAAAAAATACATATATGTTCTTTCAACATGAGAAGAAATTCTCTTAACGAAGGCTTACTTTCATTTTGAGTAAAGTTTAAATCTTACCTATCAGTTAAAAAGGCACAAATAAGGTTTTTTGCCTCTTTAGAAATTTCATTGTCATCAGGGAAAGTAAGGGAGTTCTTATGGTTCATAATCTTACTGTATGTTCCAACCAAAGAATCTGCATAAAAAGGTGTATCACCTGAAAAAGCAGCAACGCAAAAATTAAAAAGCAGATCAAAAGTACTGTAGATTTGATTTATAATATTTGAATTACATATGCAACAATGTAAGCAACTAAGTGAACCAAGAGGCAAGGACAAATGTTTGAGAACTGTGCCACAATATTTCTAAGACATGTTCTGTAAATACCAGGATCAGTAAACCACAGCTTATGTCAGCAGAATAATAAATTAAACAGTTAAAAACAACAGTGATTTTACATGAAGTCCAGTGAAGGAGTATAGTCAATTCTGATTATCCTACCACTCACCTACAAGCATCTCATACAAAAAGACTCCAACTGACCACCAGTCGCATTCTCGCCCATAGTAGCCATCACCACCCTGGGACTTCAATACTTCAGGAGAGATATAGTCTGGTGTTCCCACAGCTGTATCGCATCGTACCATACCTTCCTAAAAAAGGAGGAAAACAGCCAGGCCCAAATGTAAGATCCAAAGTTGCAAGACACATCCAAGAGTTTCTGCAGCCTAAGCAATATCAACAGATCAACATCAACTTTTGTCAACAACATTCTTTTTCGAATGGGTAGTTTAACATTGTTAAATTCTAAGCTACTAAATCCAGAACAAAGCACCAGATTTGTCAGATACAGTGATTGCTACTTTAAAAACCTCAGTTAATATCCAAGAAGTAATCAGAATTGCATCTAGGCCCTGTAAACACTGCACAGCCTCTCCTGCTCGTGCCAGTATAAATGTGTCATATACCAACGGGATGTTCCGTAAACAGGGAAAGCTCCTCTGTTAGCATAAATGGGTCAACATCAGGGATTTTGCTGACAGGATCAGCTAAAGTGCAAGTTTTTTGCCTGTGACCAAATATACTTAATGCCAGGAAGACTAAATGTAGACAGGGCCTTGATTCTCTAAGTGGACAGACTTCAAAACAGGTAACAGCTGAGAAAAACATTGGACATTCCTCACACCCCTGAGAAAGGGCTGGCAGAACAGAGATCAGTCACACTGCAGCTGGCATCCAGAATGCTGAAGCTGCAACCACGTGCCCTACTCAGGCACTTCCGAAATAATCCTATGTCATTCCTAGAAATGGATCAGTAGAAAAACTTGCATAAAAGTGTATAACTAAGTAAATATAACAAATATAAATCCAGCATTGCGTATGCAGCAAATCCAGAATGCACCTAAATTAAGCTCCTATGCTGAGCAGTTTCTCTCCCACAGAGTAACCTTTCTCTTCCAAGACTAGAGGAACCCAAGACTAGGCTCAAGACTACTCAGCTAGCTTTGTTTAGAACACCACAAAATGTAAGATGGTGTTGACACGAGTTTACTTCGGTAATGTTAATATACAGCAAAGTTGCATAATAATTTTTCTTTTCTTTATTGGCACTTACAGCTTGAACACTAGGATAATGCTTTTATGTATTTCAAAATTCCTCATTGTTAAGAACACAATCAGTCAAAGATAAATCTGTATTAAGTCAAAATAAAGCCAAATTTTGTGTCAGCTATTCCACTGAAGTGGATGGTTTGTGACTTGAGGCAACTCCTTGAATTGGCACACATAACTTGCACTTGGTTTTCATCGGTACCTTTTATTCATGGCAAAGCAGCTAAACACAGTGATTTATTCAAAGCTCCTGGAATACGCTGAGAACACAATGTACATACTACACAGACTCTATCAAGTACCTATCTCTATCATACCAATACTCTGTCATGTATTTCAGATTGTTTTCCTCATATATATGTGCAGGCTGAGAGGAACCAGACACAGCTGTGTGTAGGCAACAACAGTGCTTCACAGTACATGAAATACTGTTGCAAACTTTTTTTTTTAGTGATCTCAGAACATATTTTTTAAAAAATAAAAAACAGTCTTTTAACTTGTTCCCTTCAGATTTGCCCTTTTGCTACATTAGCGTACGGTTAATAAGTAAAATTGGGATTCAGTGACTTGTACATCAGTTTCTATTCTTTCATTACTGACACACTACATAAAAGTAATCTCACTTCTTTACATTAACTTTTGATAACCAAAGACTTAAAGAAATAATCCAGAGGATCTAGAGACAATCAAAGGCTTGACTTCAGAAAGTTTTCTAGGAAATAGTACAAAAGTTGATACAGTCCCTACTTCAAGAACTATTTCTGCATTCTACATTGTCATTGAATAGGATGCATAAAGAATAGTAACAGGCACAGAGTGGAATTTTCAGCTCTTCTCTTCTAGCTAAAAAGTTTTCAGTGCATTTTCTTTTCACTTTTAAGTGTGTTTTGCTTCCACGAATAGAAAAGCAAAATTAAAAATATGTTTACCTTGTTCATCTTCATACAAGTACCGAAATCTGCTAGTTTTAAATGACCAGCTTTATCTAGCAGCATATTATCAGGTTTCACATCTCTGAAGGAAGAAAAATATATTTTTTTTTACAAGTAAATAAATCAATTTAACTTATGAAATCAATGAGGTCAACTATTTTTCAGATGCAACATCAGAAGGAAAAAACACCAACATGAAAGCACCATTATTTCCTCCATTTTTTTTTTCAGCTCTCTCTAAGTATCATGTCTAACACACAGATTGCTGAACTACAACATCTGAAAAAATTACAATGGATGTGGGAATATAGCTTTATGTCACCAAATTTAACAAATCAGGACATTAATCTTGAACCTCAAGTTCCTAAAAAACACTCACTGATTGAAGTACTTCTCCGCTAGCATCTGGCTACAGAAAAAAAAAACATTCTGGTTCTGAGTTAGCTATCTCAAACAAACCCTGAAAACGTAGCTTCTTCTCTGTACCACTTTTAAAGGTATTTTAAGGGAATTTATTTTAAAGGAACAAATGGATGTCATTTTCAGAATTATATTACTGTGAACAAATATTTTTCCATGGTTCAAAATTCTGTTACAGAAAACAGATTTTCACAAAGTTCAGCACATTTAATGTTATTAAATATACTGAAGCAGAGTAATAGTCGGAAAAAATTACCAAGGAAGGGTAACACGAATTTCAGGAGCAAGTATATTTATGGGACCTCAAAGGAGAACTCTGGCCATAAGTGTCAAATGAAGTGCAGCGGAAATATATCAGTATATTCACAGATTGATTTTGATTGGGAGGGATTTTTGCAAGACGCTTGGTTAACTGCCTGATCAAAGTACAGCTAACGAAGTTGGATTCAACTACAAAGTTATATCAGGTTCCTCAGGGTCAAAAACATGTGGCTAGGAGATTTTCCTCACATTGTTGACAGATTCTTGTCTGCTCTCCCCTCATCAGTGGAGCCCATCATCTCATCACAGAAGGCAACTGTGTTGGCAAGGCATGCTTTACCCTTCGTAAATCCAGGCAGGCTGTTCCAAATCACCTTCCTATCCATGCGCTTGGAAATGGTTTCCTGAGAATTTACTCCGTAAGATTCTCAAAGACTGCCGTTAGGCTGATCAGCCTGCAGTTCCCCTGATCCTCCCCGCTCCTTCTCTTTCTCAGGGCAAGATGGGTGTGCCGTTTGCTTCTTTCCAGTCATCAGGAATCTCCCAATTGCCACAACCTTTCAAAGGTGACAGAGCGCAGTATCATAGAGGTACTGCCCAGGTCCCTCACAACCCTTGGTACATCCCACCTGGTGCCTTGGACGTGTGTATGTACAGTTTGTACAACCGGGACTCAGCTTGATCTTCCTCTGCCACAGTAATACTTCACTCTCCCAAGCTCTGCCACTAGGCACAGGGACCTGGAAGGCCTGAAAGCAGACCTTGCCAGCAAAGGCTGAGGCAAAGGCGGCAGACCCAGCGGTCTCCATGTCCTTTTTCCACTAGGTCCTTGAGCCATTAAGCACTGGGCCCACAATTTCATCAGTTCCCTTTCATTCCTCAGACTGAAGACTAACTCCAATGAAAAACAAATTCCAAAAAACCTGCTGGTGTCAAAATAATCTAAATTTTCATGTAAAAAAAAAACCTCACTGTGCTGCTGACAACCTCTAATGCCTGCTTTCTAAAGCTGGCAATACACATGTACAAATGGTTCATTCAGCCAGATAATTTATCCATTAGATGTATCATAGCTACATAATTAATGATGCTCTAGATCCTACTCAAGTAACGGATTAGTAGTTTGCTTTGCTTTTTTGCCAAAGCTTATGTGTTAACACTGATCTTCTGGCCAAATTACAAATTCAGAATTTATATACTGTCTTCCTCAAACTCCTCCTGTATTTTCTGTTGAAAAAAATTATTGTTCTGCTCCTAGTTAATCCAATTAAAAGCTAACAACAGATGAAAGTTCAAGTATCAAAAAGAAAACTTCTCAACCTATCTGAGAAGTGACTACATTTCACTTTAGGACAAGTACATAATATGAAACTAAGCCAAGTTCCTTTCCTCGGCACCTCAATTTTCAATCTTGCCCCTTACAAGAAAACATGTGGTTGTGAGATTTTCCTCACATTGTTCACAGATTCTTGTTTAATGGGTCACTGAGGCTTCAAATGCAGAGCAGAGAATTAGTAATTCCTAAAGTAGATACTACCATGATCAAATTCCCAAAACAGCTTTTTCTAATCAAAAGAAAAGAACCATTTTGAGGCCAACATGTTCACACCACTTTAGTTCTTATATCTCTTAGTAAAGTGGGACAATTTTATTACTCCTCAAACTGAGGAACACCCACCTGCTGAAAACCTTTACTTTGACTGTATCACCTCAGACTTGTCGTTTCTGATAGCAAGAATCTTTCAAGTTGTAAAATGGAATAATTATGAAATAATAATGAAGTAGTGATGTCATAAATTTTAAAACTGCCTAAACAATTACCAAAGTCATTCTGGCAGCATCAGGAATAAAACAACACTATGTAACAACACTTTTTTCTTTTTCACCTGTGTATAAAACCCATTGAGTGAATTGCATCTAATGCAAGGACAACTTCAGCAGTATAAAATCTTGCCCATTTCTCCGGAACATCATAGTTGCTCATTAAATTCACAAGGTCCCCACCAGGCATGTATTCCATCACCATGTAAAGGTAACGGTCATCTTGGAATGCGTAAAATAACTGTAAAAAGCAAATAAACAAAAAACAAGTCACTGAATGTTCCAGTTATCTTTAATCTCTTGCTTGTTGGAAATCAAAGGAATTTCTGCGCAAACTGATTTACAGAGTAACAGAATCACTACAACTACTGCAGCAATTTTGCATAATCCAGTAGATCTCCTAAAAAGCAATTAATCTCTAGAGTAAATTTCAGGCAGTCCTTCCATCCCTTTATATTACAACGAAGGACTAGAGTTCTGGTTATAAATTAAGATTAGTGAATTTGGTGCAGTAGATTTTGAGATCATTTCAAAGAATGGTCATTGCACAAGAGGACAAAATGCTTCCTTATTCACTGGGACACTAGTTGACAAATATGTAAACATGAAACTACTGTATTGCAAACATTTGCCCGACTCTATTTGTGTTATCACTAAATATTTATTTTTCTATTGTGAATGTATTTATTGCATAGAAAGTGAGCCTCAATTTTAAACAACTAAGTAAAAATATTTCCCTTACAGTTGTTAACGTGCTGTTCAACATGAGTAGTCCAAGTAGATTTAAGTTTCCTAACTTAAAACTTTTTCAAAATCATAAAAATACTATTCTGGACAATCACTCCCAGACAGATACTAATGTTGTTACCTATTTGACCCAGGTCTTGAATGATTCTGTTTAATTCTAACCTAACAAAAGAATCTACATCCTTAAGGGTAAAAACAGTTTAAACGAAACAGTTCACATGTGCACACACAATGCAGAACGATTGCTTCAGGCGCGCTCCTTAACTTCAAAGGCAGCAATGCCTCCCAAAAAACTGCCAGTGATAACGCTGAAATGAGGAAAAAGTAACTACAGCGGGTGTAATTTGCAGTCAAATATACACACAGAAATTAGAATAGACAGAAGCTGTGTCTTAAGCATATTTTTCTGGTATGCTGGATGCCTCAAAGAATTACTACAGGCCAGGCTCACCAATATGTATCTGGCAAAGTTTTAATAATAAACAGAATAACTTCTCATAAATGTTATGAAAAAATACAGTTTTGAAGCAAGTGCAATATCTGCCATTTGTGGTGCACAGCACTCCTAATGTTAATAATGTATTTCCCTAACAGACCAATACACCCAAACAGGGACTTTGAAAAGCTAAAAGTGAAAACACATAATTCCAAGTCATGCAGTGTTGTAACAAAACTATTCTATAATGACAACATTTTTAAAAGAATATCACTATACCTGAACAACCCAGGGACTATTAGCAAAAGCCATAATATCCCTTTCCTCCCAGAAGAATGCAGAATCTGATCTCTTTATCATCTCAAATTTGCTCAGAAGCTTCATAGCATAGACTCTCCTTGAGGATTTATGCCTTACCTGTGAAGACAAATACGACATACAGAACACATTAGTTTGCCACATTAACATACGAAGAACACCATTCAACATATTACTTTTCCTGCTTCGCTATTTAACAAGTTCTATAAGACTCTTCACATTTTCATAAAGAATTATATACTCTAGGTCTACAGAATAATTACATTCTGTTATCTGACAATATATGCACCGCTCTTAAAATACTTGCTAGAATATTGAACATAGAAGTCCATAGGCATAACAGTCGCTTTGTAATTGTAGGTATGTGTCTCTAAAAGGACAAATGTTGGCACCTGTTAAAAACTATAAAGTTAAAACTATAAGCATTTCCCAGAGTTCATTAGCAGACATGTATACTTGCTGCCATATTTCCAGTTTCTCCCACCAGTTCTCTAATTCAATAAAGCAAGATGAACAAGCCTGGTTGCTAATCTATCACAAACAACACACAACATATCTCATCTGTGAGATCTGTGTCCACAAAAATCTGGTGTAGTCCCTGAACCGGCAGAAATTCTTCTAGACCTGAAGATTTGTTCAACTGTCCATGTATACAGTGGTAAAAGCTAATCTTCCATGAGGTAAAAAGAAATAACATTTCACTCAGCTAAAGGCTTTAACATTATAAGACTGCGTCTTCTGAACACCATATTATGAAATAGATGCATGAGCAAATATTACAGAATACTTTCAAATGTACAAATAGAAACATAACTTACCAACTGAACCTCCCCAAATGCCCCTCTACCGATCACCTTCACCACTTCATAATCTTCAGCTTTCATGCGCAGATCTCTCATTTTATTTACCGTGTCTTTATCTACATAAAGCAAAATTCACATTTCATATATAATCAATTTAATTAAACCCATTCATCTCATTTCAATTTTTCATAGTGATGAGAAGATGTGCTGCTTAAAGAGGGGAGGGGACTTCCTTCTGAACCTACCTTCCTACTGGAAACCTCTCTGCAGAATGCATGACCTCACTCTCATTACCAGTAACCAAAACCTGACACAAACATAATGCAATGACTCTACTGTACAATCAAGTTACCAGAGATCTTAATTTGAGAATTTCTTTTAAAATAATTACCTGCAAAAAAAACTATGCAAAAATTTCATATCCAGCATGATCTTGCTTGTACACTGATCAGTGCAAAATTATTTCTGGATAAATATGTAACACATTTGAGGAAAATATCATATCGTACACATACAAGACACTTGAAGAAACTATTTTTAAAAAGATAAGCTTTCACTTTTCTGCACTTTTATTATTCCCAATACTCAAAAGGGTAGATTTTCATTTAAAACATGCAGTGGGAATAACTGCAATTATTTATATAAACCTGTCATTCTATAAACTACAATAATTTACAAAGTCCCAGTGGGCAGATATTCTAATTCCAAATTTGGTCAAAGATTAAAACAGTCTATTTTAATCCATGTGGGTCAACGCTGGCATGAGATTACATGGAAAAGCTTCTTGCTTCAGTATTTCTAAAAGCAAGGAACATTTACTAAAACAGACACATTTCTAATAAAATAAATTATGCAATGGTATTTTATTTTCAAAAATAATAATCCAGGCCTAAAAGCAAAGTTTAGGAAAAAAACTAAGAACAGAGGAAGAGAAAGGAGGAGAAATGCCATTTTTTTAAGTTCATATTTTTAAAAAAATGAGGTGGCAGATGACAGAAAATTACCATTACATTTCTACCTACACTGGCCATCAAAAACAAAAGCACCATATGTATAATTAAAACTCAGTAAGATTTTATTACCGCAACAGGAACAAACATAGCTCTGTTTGAATAAATACTCTGTGGCATTACTGTCTAATGTAAAGCCATCCCTTTACAATGCAGCATACCACTAGCTGATTTCAATAAACTATATTAAAGTCAAAAATTCTGACAAATTACTTCACACAAGGATCAGAATACTCAGTAAATTAAAAAAAACAATGCATTGCCTTATTTGGTCCTGGTGAAAACTGACCTATAGTAGAGGGTGAGTAAGACTGCATGGAACTAAAATGCAGCAATTCTCATGACAATTTTCTAGTCATTGTTAACTTACTGCCCAGTAATCTCACAACAGGAGGTCCACCACCTCTGAATGAAAAATCTTGACATAGGTGCAAGAGAAAGCTAGGCATGATATGAATGCTTTAAATGGTTTTCAATTACAAGCCTCGCCTATGGCCAACAGAGAATTAAGGAAAATACATTTGAAGAGCAATTTAAGCTAAGGATTTTTAGATAATGTGAACCAGGCTTGTCAGCAGTTGCAAATTACAACTGACTGCTTGAGACTTAGTTATCTTCAGACAATATGTTACAGTAACAATAATGTTGGAAAAGAGCAATTTAAGCTAAGGATTTTTAGATAATGTGAACCAGGCTTGTCAGCAGTTGCAAATTACAACCGACTGCTTGAGACAGTTATCTTCAGACAATATGTTACAGCAACAACCATGTTGGAAATGTGACCTCCACTTTCTAAAATCTGTTAAACAAGGTTTATCAGGCTGCAATGTATTTAAATAGGCAGGTCCTTATCTCCCACTACCAGTGGAGGACTTGGTCAGTTCACGCTGCATGAACAGGCCGGGTAGTTCCCATGGCAAACGACCACATTCCCCAACTTGCCCTGAAGTTTGATTATAAGCTTAGATGCTGTCTTGAAATACACTGAGTCCCTGCTGCAAAGTAGGGCTCTTGACCATTTTGAATATTGATTTCTTTCTTCTTTTAATTCTATATGGTAGAAAATTAATAAGGTTCTACATTTGCAAAAATAACCTTCACAACCTTAGGCGGCAGAAGCAGATTTTGGAGGCCCCACTAATATACAAAGAAACCAGAGAAAAATAAGAGGGGCTAAGGACTGGCTTAAAGGGCAATCAGTCTATAAAATAAAGGAAGCAAACTCCCATTTTATTTGCAATCTAGAAATTTATTTTAAAGTTCTAGAATAATGGTGCAAACTGTTTGGACAGCTAATACTGCAAAAAGATATTTTAAACAGTTTTCTATTAGAACTAAAATAACATGAAAATGTTCCTACATGTCTATGTATTCTTAAATAGAAATTCGAGACAAACTAGACTGCACAGCTCCCTCTAAGGCCACTACTCATACATCCACAGCTTGCTTTCGTATTTCAGCAAACAGCAAGATTAGTGCTCTAAAGGCAGTTTGAAGTGAAACAATATGGTCTGTTCTCCACCTTCATATTACTCCAGGTCACATCTTACACAGTATATAATTTATAGCTACAAGATATTCATTATCAGACTGTAAACATAAATTTTCCTTCACTCAGCCTCAATTGCAAAAAGTGAAGCTCTTTGAGACTCACTCATGATTTCACTATTCATAAAAATTACATTCAAATTATCTGTTGCAATGAGTATTTCCTTTGCCTAATACAACTTCTCCCTTCTCCAAGAGTTTCACCACACCTTCTCTGTAAATAACTGAGTATACAAAATGTGCATGTAACACAGTATATGGTATCAAATACAGTTTGAACTGTGAAAAGTTGAACTTGGGCCTTCCAGCAATCAGCCTGCGTGCAAGTGAGCCATGAGCTAGATCTAGTGGACTCATCTATTCCCACAAATAGGGAATAATATAGAATAAAATCCACAAATTCACTATTATTGCTTATAGTTGTACCAACTATTTGAAAACACCTGGAAACAGAAACAAAACCACCAATTTCAATGAAGCATAGACAAAAATTACTTTAGTCAAATTACTTTATATTTGGCACAAAAGCCATTTATTACAACATTTAACTGAGATGCTTAAGCTTGTAAAAATCCAATAACATTAGTTTAATTTCAAGGCTTGCCCATTCAGTCCACAAGCAGAAACAAGTCGCGAATCAGCAAACGTCTCTGCCATGTTTTCCAGAATTTGTCAGTTTGGCAGACTTTAGAAAAGATCTCTTAAATGCCTTTTAGTTTTTATTTATGAAAATTATGGAACTATGGCTTCTGTAAAAAACTGTGCAGGAAAACTGGTAGTGGAAAAATACAGGTCAAATACAGGAAGGAATTCTGCAGACACATCAGCTGCATGCACAAGTAAATACAGCAGCTATGCACCTTAAGAATTTCACAGGCTAAGGAAAAGAGACCTTTTATACTAAAAAACGGCTACAAAACACATGCTCCAGTTTGTCAGTAAATAACTTTTTAAGATGATTTCTTGACACTGTATACAAGTTATGTCATTCGACTGTTAATTGCTTATGATATATTAGTACATAAAATTATAAAGCAAGATATGGGAATCCAGAGGGGTGCCAAGAACAAAGAACAAAGGCCTTGCTCTTAAAAGTCTTCGTGCCACTGAAAACAATGTCATTTACAGTTGCAACAAACGGACACTCAGTTGCTGGGGATTAGATTTGTATAGGTAGCTGTCAGTTCTCACTGGGAAATAAATAATCAGATACTTAAAACAACTTACACCCAAACACTTAATGTACCCTAAATCCCTAGCTGCCTTTGAAAAAACTAGAACCGCTTTTATTTCTTATTTTCATTGGTATTTATAGTCCTTTGTTATTTAGCAACTGAAACATTAAATACTTACACCTGTTTAAGAAGTTATCAATGTTTTTGTTTTTTCTTAAGGCAGGAAAATCCAAATCATATACCAAAGCATCTAATCCATCCTGAAAAAAAAACAAAACAAGCAAAATTAAGTGTTTGGAAAAATAATTACACATGCTACTAGCTGAAGAGACAAGATAAAAACTGTTGTCCCTATCAATTTTCCATCCAAATGAAATCATTCCCATTTATTTAATGATTCTGTCAGCAGTTACATGAAACAACTGTTACTCCTCTACTTCCATTGGACTCTTCAAAACTTAATTCCCACCCATCCCAAAACAAATATACTTCTATGAATTATTAGCTACCTTAATTAGGTCCACATTTACATGAAAAAATTATTTTTTCCAAACATGAAAAGAACAAATAGCAGTTCTAATAAAGTTCAACAATGTTAAAAAGTCAAAATGTATCACACAGTAGGCACTCAAACATTAAATGGCAACTGGCAAATAGGACAATGAGGGTAACTTAATTCCAAGAGTCAACCCCCACATTTTATTCACTGAATTCAGAGGGAATCTTCACGAACAAGGTATTGGCTTTATACATTCTCACTTAAATCTAGGAATGAACAGCCACAGGCCCATCTGGCATTACTACCATGGAATACCTCCCTATGAACAAAACCAAATCAAAACAAAAACCACCAAAAAAAACAACCGAAGACGACAACAACAAAGATGATCATTGTTTTAAGGTCTTGTTAAGTGCCATAAACTTCCCAACAAAAACAAAACAAAACAAAACCCACCAAAAAAACAACCGAAGACGACAACAACAAAGATGATCATCGTTTTAAGGCCACAAACTTCCCAACTTAAATTTTGAGTCTAAATTTTACAACAGGTCAGTGGATTGTATCCTTTCAGAGAAAAACTAAACCAGATATTTTGGTTGAAAACCACAAATATGGTATCTAAGTAAAATTGATCAAGTATTCTAGAGAATTATATCATGAAGATTCAAATAGCACTAGGGAGTCTTCTTTCTCAACTAGGTCAAGTTTAAGTGACAACTGCAAAAATACAGAGGAAGGTCATAAAATACAAATTGATGGATGTTAGCAAAGCATGCCGGGGAAATACTGCTATTTATTTGTCCAATTCGTACCTATGTGTCTGTGCTATCTGTTATCAACCTGTTGGGAGTGAGGTATTAGACCAGATATATCTTTGATCTGATCAGATCTGATTAGACCTAATTTGACTGGTTTCAGCTTTTATAAAATTCTGCAATACAGGATTGAAAGCTGATCCATCAATCTTTGACTGCTACATCCATCAAGTAATTATGCTTGAAGAAAAGCTAGAGTATAAGCTTCTTGAAAGCTTACTTTCCAGGAACATGTATTAAGGAACACACTTGATCAAGATTTAAAAATTAGTCTTTGATCCCTCACTTCAATTTTAAACCTATTTCCCCCCCCTCAGTCTATAGGAGATTTTAAGTTATAAAAAAATCAAATGCTATCAAAATAAAAACTATTTATAAGGCTTGTAGTCCTCACTTTTGAAGTATGTGACATAGAAATTATTTACTTTGGATATAATGAGAATAAGCAGTAAAATCATGCTAGAATTTGAAAACAGGGGTAAGGAAGTAAAACTGCAAGGATAATCAAAATTACTTTAAAGCATGGTTGTTATTAAATTTGTTAATTTCACAAAAACATTCCTGTTTTAAGTTACTTCTCCATACAGTGGCTCAGTTTGAACTAAGAAATGAAAATGGTAAGAATCAGATAAGAATCAAGAAAAGTATCACAATATTTTCACAGCACTTAAATAAAGCCAGGTTTTGCATCTTGAGTGTATTACAGGATCATCTTTCTAGACTTACACTGATGATGAAAAAGGAAAGCAAATGGTAACGAAAAAAATATTTAATGGGTCAGTAATATAAATAAGAGAGTAAGAGGCCAAGAAGAATCTGGTCTCAAAACAGATGTAGAAATAAAGTTATGCAGGGTAAGTGCAACTTAGTGAGAAATACTTTGTAACCTACTAAAAGACACCTTTTCCAAAGATACAGGAAATATCCAGGACATCCAATAAAGAATTTCAATTCTTTGGTAAATTCAACAGAGAAACCATGCTAACTACTCGTACAGGAGTACAAAGCGCCCTGAGCCCCGTGCTGTGAGAAGCAGCAGGCACAGAACATCTACAAGGCTCCTAGGTCACATCCAGGGATTTTTAAAAGCAGATGAGTGATGGTGATGAATTCCCAAAGTCTGGAGTCCATTCTGCCCTTAAGCCTTCAAATCTGTGGAGTCAATCAATTTGTCCAGGGTCACACAGCTAACACAGAAAACTTTTCCACGCATCAAGCTGAAGCACAACAAGATTCCCCAAATCCTGGTTTGCTCTGGGGCAATGCAATTACCTGCTTTGTTTTTGCTTCAAAAGCCAAAATTCAGTCTTTTTCTTTAGAGAAGGGGAGATTTTAAACACTAAACACAACAATATAGGACAAATGTGAATATTTACAAACTTTTAACATCAATCTTACTTTTGTATTGTACTTTTTATTTTAAAATATTAAAATAAAAGCCTATGCAGAAAAAAACAAGAAGTATAAATTGGTTTATAAAAGCAAACATAGGACTTCCACTTACATCTCACATAGTAACAGTATTTCAGAGGTGATTAAAAAAGAACAAAGGAAAAAACTTCCTTTCTAATGTCCTTTACTCAAACATTTTCATGGTCTGATACAGTTTTTTCTATATCACATTTATTTAATGAAATAATCAGTAGTTTTATAATCTATTTAAAATACCTCATTTTATCCTGAAATTAAAGAGAGGCATACTAGGGGGCCATTACACAGTGCAGAGTTCTTCCATATGAAACCAATGTTTCCACATATTCTATTGGTTTCATTTCATTCATTACTACCCCGCACATACAAGTTTCAAAAGAATACATACATGGAGCAAACTCACAGGTCAGTCTGGATGCACATACTGCCTCCAGAGATGACGATAAGGGTGTTCAGGAAAGAGGACATGAACAAGTCCAGCATATGGTAGCACTGCTCTGGTGTAGTTGTGAGCCAGAAATGGCACTGTCACAGTTAACAGCTCCAGCCAGAATTTTCTTCAGCGATTTTGTCTAAATATTTTCTGTATTTGTTTGAGTCTCTTGCATTTACAGCATCATAAGATATGAATTCCACCACCTACAGGCTGTGTGCAAGTGGACCTCGTTCTGAGCTTGCCATTCTTCAGTCACAAAAGGAACAATGACTCTTTACCCACCTGCCACAAGACACAGCTTTACACACTGCCATCATTTCCCCCTTGGTCATCTCTCTTCCAATTAGCCTTCTATGAAAGCTACTCCAATTCTCATCACCACCCTCCAGAGCTTTTTATTTCCATTACATACTTTTTGAATCAAGGTGGGAAACTACAGATAATTAAGTTGTGAGCACACCGTAAGTACACAAAGCAGTGCAATGTTTCCTGTTCTGTTCTTCATTAAATTTTAAGTTAACTGAAATATCTGGTTAATTTTTACAGTCACTGTGTACTAAACTGATTCTTTCACAAAACCAGGTACTATAAATCAAAGCAAGTTCAACATTCAACAGCACAAGTACATAAAGATGAGAGGTTTTACTCCCATGCACTCACTCAATATCCATCAATGCTGAATTTCACCTAACACTTTTAACCACTCAGGCACCAATCAATACTAATTTCTCCTGTGATTTGCTATAGCTTTAATTTTCACTACTCTATCATCATTAATTAATCATTATTCACCATTTTAGATCACTTATGGTTGTGAAATAGCACAGATCTGTTAGACTCCATTACTGATCTCTCTGTTTTGAGTAAGCTGATCACCAGCTCTCACTTCATTCATCCACAAAACAAGCCTAGCCCAAAGCAGTTTAGTTCTGACAAAAAAAAAACACTTAAATGAAGAGCTTCATCAAAAGCTTTTGTTCCTCAAATGCAGCAACTACTTCAAGGAACTCCACAATGAACAAAACTTGACTTTCTTCCACAACAGGTGTTAGCTCTTCCCCATCACAACACCTGTGGGCTCACGACTTCTGCTACTGGGCTGGGGGCCCCTCTGTTATCCACAGGACTATATTTACCATCTTCCTTACCACTGTTGTCAAAACAGTTTTAAGTACTAATGTAGATAAATGCTACGCTTAAACACACTCTTACGTGCCTTAATGAGACACAAACAGGTGCAAAAAAGACAGATAAATATCAAGCAGTCTCAGCAACCTTACTGTTTGTGTCATTTTGTCCAAAAAACTTTTCTAGTACCACTTTCGCGTGAGAGAGATCCTCCAGCATGAACACTGTAAAGAAGGATTCCAGTATGGAGACTCCTCTAAGCTTCTTTCTGAAGCAATGTGCAGAAAGATCTCTGCAACAGCCTTTTCCTTTACTTTCCCTTCAGTTTTTCTAAAACTATAGAATGTAGTGACATAAAAGTTATCGTTAACTACACAACCTATTAGCATTGAATTTCTCAGGTTGTTATGCTAACTTCTTTACATTAGCTTCCTCTAAAATGTACTGGTTTTCTTCAGTTTCACTTAAGCAGTCCCATATTAATTGGATTTTTTTTCTCATATTTTGGTCTATACCCATTTCCAAAGTTTTAATGCATCATACTGCCATTCCTACCATGACTACACTGGACTGCCTCCCTCTGTACCTGCATTCCTTAATCCCAAAACTCACTACAATTATGTAATGCTGGTTTTATTCAGATGTATAAATTAATATTAATGTAATTTTATAGTAAAATTTACTGTTAGGATATTTCAAAATAGACTCCATCAAGCAACTTCAATTCAGCAAAACATATTATCTCAGGATTCATAAGTGATATAAAGTGAAAAATATAGTATATGATCTACATTATCAGGGTGCACTTATAGCATCTTTGTATTTTGAATTTTTTACTTCATACACATTACATTATGACATAGTCTCATCTAGTGGAAGCATATAATAAATAAAAATGGATTAAAATCAGTTGAAACTTTGTTACTGAGACACTTGTTTATTTTACTA